CCAAAAAAAAAAAAAAAAAAAAAAAAAAAAAAAAAAAGTCTCATCTCTGTGGTCATTTGGCTTGAAAGAAAAAGGGGCTCTTCAAATTATCTCAGAGCTTGAAATTCCACTAATGGATTCAGCGGAAGTGTAATGTAAAGCAGCATTTACCTAAGTGCACGTGTGGAATTTTATTCTGCTTTAAGGATTTTTTTAAAATCTGTGGTCAGCATGGCTAATGCCAACATCACAAGTCTACTGCAAGGATCCAAAGAGCCCACCTACAACTGCACTCAGCACACAAGGGAGCTCAATGAACCGGGGGCTGAACCTAGATAGATATGAGCCAGCTCTGATGGGGACCACTGTGCAGAGCCTACCAGGGGAGCCAGCAAAACTCCTCAGAAAAACTGAGGACGATCTGAACTAAAAAGTACTACACTGAGAAGCAGGTGCTAAGAGAGCAGTCAGCACCTAGGAATTCCCAGTCAGAGTGTTTCGGAGTAAGCCAGAACCAGGCAAACTTATTCTTTTCCAACTTGGGAATATCTGCACGTAGATAATGAGCTATCTTGGTGATGGGACCCAGGTCTAAACATGAAATTGATGATGTCTCAAATACCTTCTACACGAGCTGGAAGGTGAGTTTCTCCATTTTCGTGTACCTGCAATTTTGGCTCACGTAAGCAGTCAGGTGTGACAGGCACGGTGGTTTGTGTCATCGTGTTGGCACTCAGAAAGTTTTACATTTTGGAGCACTTCTGATTTTTGAGTTCGGGAGGCTCAACCTGTACCTGAACTCCCTAAGTGCGACAAAGCTATCCCTACTTGTGACGTCTCCGGTCCCTGCTGCCTCTCTAAAGGGTTTTTTCCCCACTCTAACCTCAGAGAGAAGTACCAAGCTCCTCAGGAGACCGTTATTCCTGAGCTAGCCCTGCCTTGATCCTACCTTTACATACCTTGAGTTAACAGTTCAAAAGTGTAGCTCTTCACATCATCTTCGTTTTGAACTACAATAGTATAATGGCCACTGTCTTCTTCCTTGGCACGGATCAGCTTCAGTTTGCTTCGATACCTTAAAAGAAATAGGCTGCGTTTCAACCAGCAGTACCTTGTTTAATTTCCAGTTGTTTAAGTAACTAGTCTTCAGCTTAAATTTCATTTTTGTAACTTCTTGTCCATACCATCTCTTTCCTGTAATTCACAACAGTCTTCCCATGCTAAATGGCTGAATCAGAGATGTGATTCTCAAAGCCAGGTGTGGTGGTGCACACCTGTAATCCCAGTACTCAGAAAGCTGAGGAAGGAAGACAGCTGCAAGTTCAGGGCCAGCCTGGGCTGCATAGTGGGTTCAAGGCCAGCCTGGACTAGCTAGTGAGGCCCTGTCTCAAAAACACAAAAAGAAAAACAAAATCTTGATTTTTACTCTCTAAAAAATATACTCCCTCCACCAAATATCCATCATTTGGATGATTCAGCCAAACAGTGGAACACTTTTGAGAACAGAATGAAAATGCTGTCCCCTGTTGACGGGGAGGGCAGTCCAGAATATGGCATTAGGTGCTCATCTACATTCTCTTAAAGAAACTCTGGAAGGTTTCATAGGAGCCTGATGAAACTGACCTGTGGAGCGGATGGGTAACTGGACAGATGGGGAGAGTAGTAGATTGTGGCTTCTTACAACACCACCTCTTCATGTTTGTTTTGGAAGCATGGGATTCTAATCATCAACTCAGAAAGAAAATTAGAACAAGTAACTTCTGCATACTTTCATGAAAGGAAGTTTCCCCCAAAGATATGGGCATTGTATATGTATATAATAGTTTCCCAGTTGACTGTCTTTCATAAAACATCACAATTACCAGGCATAGTAGTATATGCCTGTAATCCTAGCATTCAGGAGGCTGAAGCAGGGGGATTTCTAGTTCAAGGACAGCCCAGGCTACATTACAAATTCAAGGTTGGCCTGGTCTGTCTAGCCACCACCAAAATCACAGTATCACAAAGGCAACTAGAATGGTAAAGAAAAGCACTAGTCAGGAAATACAAAGAACTTGGAAATTCTCCATGCCTAGTTTCCTTACGTAGAGAAAGGTGTAGCTGTGCACACAGCACAGTCATTCTGAGAATCTACTAGATGAGATTCTATGTAGGAAAACACTGCACAGGCTCAAAAGCACTCGGCAAATGCTGCAGCGGCTGGGCCTGTGTTGTAGGCTGGACTGGGTCTTCCTGTTACACCTATGAATTTGCTTCAGCACTGAATTCTGTAGAGCCCCTCAGACAGAGCTGACTGCCAATTCCCAAATGAGCCTCTGCCACCCACTGTATGTACTTCATTGGCCAAGAAAGCAGTGGGTCCCCTGGTTTCAAGCTCCCTGCAACTAGATGCCCCATGCACCATGCTCATCCTTGTGTTTCCTGGCCAACAATTATTAAGAGCTTAAAAAAAACTATTATATGCACTGAAGGATTCTTGAGTCACTATAGGCAACCTTTCAAACCACCCACTGTCCAGCTTGACTGATTGCTGCCATCGATTACAGCCTGAAGATCATGCTCAGTCGCATCTGGAATGTTAGCTGAGCCAGGATCACCCTGTTGCACTTTGGCCTTATAGCTTTGGCAGACTTGCTGGTTGGCCAGCTGTCCTGTATGCCCTGTGGGCCCCTTCCTCTGAGCAGAAAGCCTTCTGCATCGGGAGCCCACTCCAGGTCCCATCACTGCTTTATGTAGGTCTTAAGATCCCACGGTCTGCACTGGGGGTGTAGTTCAGCCATACAGTGCACACACAGCCTGAACAAGGTCCTGGGATCAATCCCCAGCACCACAAAAAATTTTTTTGTTTAATTCATTTTCTCAGATGCTGCTTCTCAATTGCACATGGAATGTAGTTCAGAAATAAGCACACAAAGCCCAGAGTTCATTGAAATGATGAAAAAGGTTCTGTTCTCTTGACTGAAGCTTAAAATACAGGACTGAGCTGTTTTCCTAGAGTGATTTCTGACAAGGGCATCTGGCTGAATTAGCTGGGCCTTTCAAAATGAACCTTCTAACTCCTGAATCCTAATGACACCTTGAAACTTTGAGAGGGGCTGGTGCTGGACCTCAGTGCAAGAGGCCCTGAGTTTGATCCTCAGCAACACACACACACATACACACACATACCACACACACCTGCAAGAGACCTCAAGATTATCAACTCACCCAGTTCCTTACCTTGAAAGCATGAGGTAATATAAATCCTATAATCCAGGTGTGGAATGCAAAGCTAGGCAGTGACTTACCCAAAATACCACGACTAGCTAAGACACGGGAGCAGTCTACCTCTCTCAGGAAAGAGCAGGGGTTCAAGTCTAGTGTGTTGGTGCATGTTTGCACCTGGGATATTGAGCCAGGATGACTGCAAGTTGGAGCCCAACCTGAGCAATTTAGAAACTTATAGAGACCCTTTCTCAAAATTTAAGAAAAAAAAGGACAGGGATCCAAATGACTCATCATAAATCTCCCTCCTGATCAAATACTGCCAGGATCTCTTCTTTATTTCCACAGAACCATTGGCTGGGACAAATATGTTCCAAAGTTAACCAGTGACGTTTTGATTCATGTGAGTTATGTGATAATTATCTATAAGACCCAAGTTTTCTGATCAAGGTGGTCTCCCTCTTTGACCTTTGCTCAGAATATAAAGACCAAGTTTTCTGGGCAAAGGGCTCTAACAGCCTCCTCCCTGTTTTTCTGTTCCTGTTTTTCTGACCGAAGACTGAACTTATCTCCTCCCTGATAGTTGCTTAGTTAGAGATATTATATGTTTTTATGAGTATACAGAGTTTGCCTAATTGTGCAAGCATATAAAGTGTTCCTTAAGAATAGAAATAGAGGTCTTTCCGCCATTTTGAAGAATGTAGAAGAAACTCCAATAAAGCGTGCATCAGAAGAATCCTGAGTGTTGCGTGCTCCTTGCTGGCGAGGTGCGCGTGACAAGTGGTGCCAAAACCCGGGAAGCGACGACCATCATCGCCGGCATCAGCGGAGACCCCTGACTTCAGGAGGATTCAGAACTGAGACGCAGGAGGGGAGGATCCACCAACTTTCCGAGAGCTGCCTGCCTGCCTGCCTGCCTGCGATCACCGGCGGCGTGCGCGAGAGCTCCCGGCCT